GGTCGATATTCTCTAACACGCCCCCTCACACAAAAGCCCATTGGGCTTAAAGTGGGAACAAGCACAGGCCCACCTATACCTTGTGCTGAAACTTAATTAATTATAATGGGGGTAATGAGGATTGAACACTAGACCACTTGGTCAAAGTGGCTCTGATACCATCTCAAAGAACCATTCAACCTAAAAGCTTAAGCTGTTAGGTGAGGTCCTTGAATAGGTCGATATTCTCTAACATGATGTACTTCTAATTTTCATCAACGAATAAACTTAACAATTACTGATAGGCCTGTAATTGGATTGGATGTAGCTAAATCCAACTTCAATTTGATTAAAGCATTGCTTCATCCAAATTCAATCCAAAACCCAATCGGATGTTGGAGAAGTCCATTCAAATACAAATCTGATTGGATTTATCAGATTCCAGATTTAGTCCAAGTTCGAGAGAAAGGTATCTTGAGACTGCAATAGAATATAACGTATCTTAAGACTGCAATCAGTTAAAGACAAAAAAAAGAAGGGGATAGCAGTAGCTCAGGAATGCTTTACGCTTGAAGACAGAAAAAAGAAAAAAAAAAGAAACAAAGTATCTTGAGACTGCAATCAGTAGACAACAAGGAGGGGGATAGCAGTGGCAGCATAGGTTTAGAACTATTTTTAAAGACCGGAGTAAGAATTTCCCTGATTTTTCAATGTTGAGGACTTGGAGCCCTAAACTTTAAGAGAAAAAAAAGATGAGAGATCAACAAGCTAGAAGAGTAGGCTCTGTTTTCTTAGTTCATAAATACAAGGAGATCCATAGATCATTGATGTCAAAAGCAAAAACAAGAAGAACAAAAGGCTTGCCCACAAAAATCACAAAATAAAAAACTTTAAAATCTAAGCTAGAAGAGTAGACTCAACCTCAACCCTGACTAACCCCACCCTATCTTTAACAGCCTTAGCAGCCTTTACCTTTCACACAACCAGGCCATCAATATCCACAATATCACCTGGACCCTCTCAAGTCTCAAGTGTACTTACCACCATGGCTGGATTTGGGAGGGGTGTGATGAAGTGCAAGTATGGGCTGAGATTTCACAGCGAGTGGCAGTAAAGTGCAGAGGTTGAGCAGTGGATAGGGATGGTCTCTGTTTTGGTAAATAAGGATGTCTCGGTTGATTGACACCTGATAGATTGACAGTAACAAGGGGAATTGAAAAGTCATTATTTGTTTTTACATATTTACCCTTATAATTCAAACATAATTACAGTATATTAGGAAAGATAACAAAAACTGATTAGGGTATTTTAGTAACTCAAAATTTTGGTAGAAATAATCATATATTATTGGATTCGGATTTTTTGTTGGACTGGATTGATATAAATTTGAATTCAATCCATTATTAATTGAATTGTACTTGTCCCATCCGAATCCAACCTGTTAAAATAAAATGTGCATGAGTCTGAAATAATCAGACAGCGGATTTTAAATTGGGCCTCAGATTTCTGGAGTCCATTGACACCCCTAATTACTCAAAAAAAAATCATTATATATTTTATATAACTATGTTTCTTAAAAAATACCTATTGGAGAAAAGGTCATAGTTCTTATAGGTCTTTTGGGTGGAGATCAGGTTTTCTTGAATATCTAGGAGAAAAAGAATAGAAGAAAATATAGAACAAATTCTTAAAACCTTCTACTACTATTGACAGAAACAAGTGGGTATTGTTGCCAATTCTTCAAATGACCTTGAAAGTAGTATAAGCCTTTAATTATTTGGTCCATCGGGAGTAAAGCTATCTAGTCTGACAATGCTCCTTTTTCTAATCTATTAGATTCTTTTGAAGAAAATAACCAAGGATGCCTCTCCTTCCAAAAAAATAATGTTCACTGGAAACAATTAAGCAACATCATAGACTTTAGGAAGCACTGTTGCACTTCAAGGGCCAAAAAAAATCTAATAATGAGTAGAAATAGTTCAGATTTGCTTTGATTGTCCTCTTAGGAGAAAAGAGGGGCACAGCTGAAGCAATTATCTTGATAACAACCAAATGTAGTCCATGCACTTTTTTTTTGATAGATAAGAAGTCCATGCACATTGGAGGTTACAATACACCATACATGTTGATACAATTCTTTTCTTATTCTAAGACATTGAGTTAAATTTATAAAAAAAAAGAAAAATCTAATAATGAGTAGAAATAGTTCAGGTTTGCTTTGATTGTCCTCTTAGGAGAAAAAGGGGCATAACTGAAGCAATTATCCTGATAGCAACCGAAAGGAATACACATTGCAGGTTACAATACAACCATACATGTTGATACAATTCTTTTTTTATTCTAAGACACTGGGTTAAATTATGCCTTGCCATTGTTTTGTGTACTTGTCAGTTAACTAGTTTGTAAACTATGGAAGTTCATATCCCATGCCTTGGTCCAGATTCCTTCTTCACCCTATATGACTGATCAGTTATCTGGTAGGCAGGAACAATAGAGAAGAAAAGAAGGCATATTATAGATTTGCTGACACCAAAATCATATAAAATTGGACTATGGAGGAATTTTTCTTATAAGCATCTCTGATTACCAAGACTCAGGGTAACTTGATATAAACACATGTCAATTCTCCTGATCCAAATTAAATTTATTCTACAGCAAAGTTGCTTATAAGGAGAAAAGAAACCTTTGTCTGTGTTACCAATGCGCCTTGAAACTATAAGATCTAACTGTGCAAGAACTTGTTACTTAGCAGCACTTGTAGCATCTCAATGATGCTCCGAGCTGAAGTTAGTAGAGAACATGGGCACTGGTAGAAAAGGTATCCTGTGGAATTAATGCAATATTTTGGTTATCTTATCTTTTACAATAGTTTAAAAATTATTTATTACTGTGCCCCATTCCATGACTTTTGGAGGTTGATTTGCTGGACACCTGAGAACACCTCAATATTTGGCATCTATGCTACATGCTAAGGTAACACCGACCTTGATACTTTCTCTAAGACTTCCAACATTCTTGTGGATGCAATGAAAATAATGTTTTCTCATTGGGAATTGGGATCTAGATTTAAAGGACATTTGAAAGGATTGATAAGAATGAAAGTTTCAGACATTTGCTATACTCCCCCCCCCCCCCCCCCCCCCAAGTGTGGAAAAAAAAAGAAGCATTCAACAAGATTTTAACAATAAAAAAAGAGTAGGATTCCAGGCAAAAAGTAAGATTCCAAAGCCTAACACCAACTATTGGTTTTCCAAAAGAAAATGGAAATAGAAGTGGCTCACCAATGCCTTACCTACCAAGTGCATCAAAAAAGACATTTAGAAGAAAACAGTAGAAGTTCAGGACTGTTATCAGTCTTGAACTCTAATGGATTTCAGGTTCGAAAATAAGAAGAAAGGTAAAGAGAAGAGAGGAGGAAGAGGGAGGAGAAGCAGTAGAACATAAGAGTTGAAAGGAGGAGCAGAAGCTTAATGTTYTGCCGCCGCCACTTTAATTAATATTTATAGGTTATGCTCATTACATGGAAAGGACAGATCTGCCCTTAGTCTTTACATAACATAATAGAGCAAAATAAAACTGAAATAAATAGCAACTGAAACAACTAAATGACCAACGGCTAACCCTAGGAAGACTATAACACCTTCTACCCTACRAACACAGTGGGACCGTAGCTGTGGGGCCCACATCAGTGTTCTCTACAAAAACCTGTTACTATTGGATGATAATCTGATCAATTGTTGTGATATTCAGTGCTGTTTTTGAAATGAAGGTGACTCTCCTTGGATAGGGTGTTTCATCCCTATTAATGCAAGATCTAGGTGGTCAGACATGGAACTATCTGAATTTTTATTTATTTTTTTGTATTCTAGACAATAATAGTGTTTAGTCATTTTACGAGTTGTTTGCAGGGTCCAAGCCCAACGCTGTTTTCTAATTTGTGTAGTCATAGTTTAGTATTGTTTATAATTTCATGGTAATTGGTTAATTAGTTTAGGAGTAATTTATCTTTCTCAAAAAAAGAAGTTATTTATCTTTGAGTTAAAGTATGATAGAGGCAGTTCCGTAATTTTTGTTTTATCTTGGTTCTAGTAGGATTTGTCATCCATACACTTGTCTAACTGAAGGTCCCAAAGTCTAAAGCCAGAGAAGGCTTACTTGTCAGGTTTTTGTTTTTTTATAAACTTGAAGGATGCTGTTAAATTGCGACTTCATTTTTATGAAATAGTAATGGAGACCAACATCTTAATTCAATTCCACTTTTGTGGTTGTAACATGAATATATCTTTGGGGCTGATCAGCTCCTGTCACGTAACAAAACTAGTAAGCCAATGGTACACATGGTTGGGTTAATAAAGATTCCCCATTGGTGTATATTTCAACTTTGGAATGAAGATTTATTTATCCTTGTTAGAGAATAAAAACCTATTCAGGGACCTCACCTAACAGCTTAAGCATTTAGGTTGAATGGTTCATTGACATGGTATTAGAGCTTGTTTGAACAAGTGGTCCAGTGTTCGATTCTCGCTGTCCCCATTATAATTAATTAAATTTCAGCACAAGGTATGGGTGGGCCTGTGCTTGTCCATGCTTCGAGCACTATACGATTTCACATGAGGGGGAACATTAGAGAATAAAAATCTATTTAGGGACCTCAGCTAACAGCTTAACCTTTTAGGGTAATCGGTTCCTTGACAGTCCTTTTCTTTTGACAAGACATTGTGTGTTTTACTGTATGCTCTTTGTTTCTGCTTAAAAATACAACACTTTTAGGTTCATTTGATTGTATTTCTCTATATTTCCACTTCTATGGTATGAATTTCCGTCTGTCAAAGATTTATGGCTAAAGTAGCTGGTATCCTTGCATTTGTTCTTGCTTTGCTTTTCAGGAAAATTATCTGGGTAAATGTGGAAAACTGGTGAAAGTAGATGGATATTGAATTATTTTGTTTCCCAAATCCAAATTCATTTTATTATTGTGGGTTACTTGTAAAAGCAATCTCATGTTTTTGTTCTATCTTCAGCTTCCATTTCTACTTGGTGTCCCTATCTTGGAAAAACTTGCTGCACCCATAGCTCCATTTTTTGTTGGACGAACTGGTCGCCAACTATTCCTTACAGATGGCAAACCCAGCAAACCTCCTCTTCTTCTGAGAATGGCATCTGATTGTGAAGATGGAAAATTTATGTAAGGTTTCTTTAGAAGAAGCTTATATTTTAAACATGATTACATTTATGTACCAACTTTCTGTTCATCTTGCAGATCTGCTCTTGGGGCATTCAGGTGCCGTATTGTTTATGCCAATGTCTCTTATGACCGTATCCACTTAATGGAACCCATTGTTTATTATTGTTATTAGGTTACTTTTAGCTTCTGTTTGGGAATTAATTGAATATATATCATTCAAAACCAAATATTGTTTTTGGGATTGCATGGTGTGATACTTTTCTCTTTTCCTCTTGAAATAGCTTCCTTAAATACTGTTTAGATATGGTTGGTTGGCGAACATCCTCTATAAGGAGGGAGAAAGAACTTGTTAAGGTATATATGATGACTTGTTTCTTGAGCTACACCATTCAGATTTTACAACAATTTGGATCGACAAAATATTATAGATAATCAGACAATGAAATTGGAAAAAAAATAGAAAAAAAAATCGAATGCCCAATTCTTTTCTGGAACCTGACCTTGCACGTTCTTACTTTCTTGATTAAATTGTTGGGCCTTGACATGCCTGAAGTGTTCATATACCAGCTTATTCGCATAATCTCTGGCACTGGATATCAGAGTAGGATAGTACTTGTGGAGCTATTGTAAAAGTTCCTCTGGCATTGAAATATAATTTCTCTGGTAGGTCTCTCTTTTGACAGTTTGGGACAATTTGGTTCTTGATCAAGCATAATATGTTATGATTAGGTTTTTGTGCTTTATTTACTTATTTTGTTCTTACCATTGTATGCAATAGACCAGCTTACAAGAAATGCATAGTGCCATAACTCTCATGTTGAACAAAGTTTATGTGATTTTTGGTGGTGCAAATACATGTATGTTGAAGAGAAAATTTTTGAGATTTTTAGAGAATTAAGAAACTCTCTCTGACACATTTTCCCACAAGCTATGATTGTCATCAACTTGAGCAAGGAATTGTTTATCACTTCCTGAGTTCCTGTGATGTTTCACCTTAGGCATTTCCAGGTCTTTCTGCTTTGAACTGGGAGGTGGTAATTCTTAGAATTTTAATTTTATGTTTGTAAACTAGAAAAGAAAAAACATAAAGTGAAAAGTCAACAAAGTTACATCAAAGATACAAGTGGTGTATATCATATTTTTTATCTCATTTTTTCCCTGCTACAATAAAATCTTAATCTCTTGTATGTGTTGGCTGTCTACTGAAAACTGGCAGCCCCCTCGACGATCTTTGGATGGTTACAAACATGTTGTAGATGTGGAGTATTGCCCCCCTGTATCATCCAAGGGCCCTCATTTTCCTCCAGAAGCAGCAAAAGCAAAGGAGGCAGCACAAAATGAACCCAGCACACAAAATACTACAGAGTACCATGATATTATGGAAGGTTAATATCTATGTAATGAAACTAATGATGTTGCTTCTTATTCTATGTGGTCTAATCCCTTACTGGTGTTAACATCATTATATCATTTGACAGAGGAAATGATACGTGGCTTACAAAGATTAGGGTGGAAGAAGGTCGACGTCAGCTTTCATTCGGCATTTTGGCCCTTCTTCGCCCATAATAATATCCATGTCTGATTCAATTCACTTATCAATCAACATAATTATGCTCCCTATTCTTACAAATTCTTCTGTTTTTATTAATTAAATAATTGATGATGCTTCAGGTGAAGAACGAATGGCTTCACAATGCCGGTGTTGGAGTGGTTGCTCATGTTGCAGACAGCATAAAACAACAGGAGTCTACCCCATTAATTGCTGCTAGCTTATAGCCACAAAGTTTATGTGGGTGTACTTAAAAGGCTGTACAATGTTGTAAACTAGATGCAAGTATAGAAAGTTCATGATGCTTTTTTTGGCTATATAGTAAAACTTTTTTTATGGAAAGCCAATACACCTGTTCAAAGTGAGGATTCAAAGGTCTGAGTAAGGGGAAAAGAATGAAGATTAAAAGATGATCAAGACTTGGAAAATAAGCAGTAATTCACAATTATGGTGGGGAACCTGCTCTACCTTAAAACTTAGGCTCTTTAGCCATGGACCACTGAAACTCTTTGGGGTAAGAAAAAGTTGAGTAATGGTGGAATCCAACCTCTCTGATGTCTGCCATGTGATTGTAAGATTGTTTCAACAACCACATCTCGACACCATGTCTAGTGTTAATCTTTAACCGTAGTAATGTACAAGTGATGGTGACCTATTCTGCTGTCTGCTATACTTTCTGTACTCCCTTTATCGAAAAAAAAAAGACTCGGCTTTGAGTACGGAAGAAGCAAAAGTTGCTGTTGGCCAAGTAGCCAACTGAAAGTTTCCTGACTCAACCACTTTCCACGACTTTTCCTTTGCCAGCTATGAACATTCCAAACTGGTACCTAAGAACTATTCGTACCTGCTCCTGACTCTTTGATCTCAAGGCCAAGAACAGCTCCATCCAATCTCATCTTCCCTTTTATTTTTTCAAGTCCTTTTGTAGGGGTGTTCATGAATGAAAACAAATAAAAAGAATCTGATTAATCGAACCGATAGGTTTGGTATCAATTAACCAATATGAAAAATCAGCAGTTAATCGATATCGAATCAATTGGTATGTATATATGTAAAATATAAAAAAAAAATGAAAAATCGAATGATCGAATTCGTCAAAAACTGAACTGATCAATCAGTTATCGATTAATTGATTGATTTCAGTTCGGTATAGTTTTATAGTTTTCCAAAAACTGAAGGACTGATTCAGTTTGAAAGGAAAAAAAAAACGACCCACAATTTATAATCGCTAAGTTAAAACTCCAGTGGAGCAACAAGCTACAGCTGATCCTTCTCAACCTTTTTGCCCCCACCCAAGAACTTACAAGCAATTGAAAGAATATGAAAAGGGTACATGTTCATCCGGTAGATCTTGTCGTGTCTTGCCAACCAAAACTGTAAAGCACTTGACGCAAACCATTTCTCCACTATAATTCCCCCAACCAGCCCCATAGATCGTTTGGAAGGGTTTCAGTGTTGGTTGAGCCGCTTTAGAAAATAATCTATCTAAAATAGTTTCACCGGAAAGGTTGAGCCGCTTTAGTATCCTGTATTTTGGGCTAGTGTCATTTTGATCCCCGAACTTTAAAATGCGATAATTCAGTATCTGAACTTTTAAAACGTGATAATCAATCGTTAATTAGCTGTTAAGTGGCATTTGAAAAAGACACAAATGCCCTTAGAGTGTCATCTAATTTTCTTTATCAACTATTCAATCATTGACCAAAAAATTAACAGTTGAAGGGCATTTGTGTCTTTTCAAATGCCATTGAACGGTTGGTTAATAGCTAATTAACGACAGATACTAAATTGTCACGTTTTGAAAGTTTGGGTACTGAATTATCGCATTTTAAAATTTAGGGACTAAAGTGGCACTAGCCCAAAGTACACTAATCGAGAATTTTTCTTTAATTTTTTTGAAATTTCCATCAAACATAGCTTCACAACTTCCTCTCACAAACCGCTTGTAAAATCGCTCCCAAACGGGCACTAAAGTCCTCGAACAACCCACTTGAATACCCATTATGGTGTCAAAATAGTACAGCTTTATCGCAAGCAAAATGATTTTCTCGTCAGACTGAGTAATGGTTCCAGACCAAAAAAAGGTCCAAAGAGATACTACACTCTCTCTTACCCATTGGAAGGAATCAGTACAATGATACAAAGCTCTTGTTTTCCTCGTTGCAACCAACTCCCATTTCATCCATGAGCCTCAGTTATTGGAGGGCCCACTGTCAGTTTTAATTAGGAGATGCATGCATTCAAGAATGGAATACCATTATCACTAATAAGAAAGTAGCCAAATAAATGTGCTGTCTTTTCTGCTGGTAACAAGCTTATTAATCCATTCACCTAGCAAAGATTTATGTGTTTAATAAATGTTTCACTTGGTATTTTAGGGCTGTGTTTGGTTCGATAGATAACAAGAAAAGAAATAAAAAGTTGAAGAAAAGTTCTTAACAAATGTTTTGAAATTATTAAAGTATGTGTTTGTTTGTGGATTAGTGTAATATTATACTTTGGTCCAGTTTTGTAACTATTTGGATGGAGTATAAATAACCATTAAAAGTCGATGTAAAACTCCATACCAACATTTTAAAAAACGATTTGGAATTGGAACCGTTCTGGTCATCGGTTTTTGGGTCGATGGTCCAACCGTTTGGTTAGAACAAACAGCCCGTTCTAACAAATAAATTAAAAATAAAAAACGGTCAAAACTGTTGAATGGATCGATGGATCAACGGATTATTGACTTTTTCAATGGTTTTTGACCAAAAAATGGGTTTGGGGTAAAACAAAACCAGCTTCCTGAACGATTCTCAGGCTGAATGGTCCGACAGTCCAAGTCAACGGCGGTTCGAAAATCTTGTTCCATACAGATCAAGTTTTACATCAATAATTAAGGGGAACTTATTTTTATAAAAAGCATGTAAAACTTTACATCTATAATTGCCGTTCCCATTTACACCTTTTTTAAACCAATCAATGTGTCTTCCCCATGTATCCAAAAAAAAAAAAAATTGATGTAGAACTCTATGGTGTAAAAGTGTATTTACACCATTTTCATATGCAGCCTTTAGAACTTTCTCTAAACTTTATATTCTTCTCTTATTTTCTATCAAATCAAACATAACTTAAGAGGTATTGGCACCTTTACCTTTTCAGTAAATTTCAGCTTAAGAGCCCCTTCTGTTTTAGCAAGGAAAAGGTCTATCTTCTCAGGTTTTTGAACAACTGTATCTCTAAGATTGTATTTGGTTTGAAAGAAAAGGTAGAGAAAGCCAGGAAAATCTATACAAATCTTATGCAGGTTTTTCTTTCTCTTACTTTTCCTACCTTTTCTTTCAAACCAAACAAAGCCTTAAGTGAAGATATCCAATAAATGAAGGATCATGCAACTGACATGAAAAGATAATTAGAAGAATATTCGATCTAAAAGGTTGGTTGTATGGTGGAAGGTCTAGATTGACCACATAACCCTTTTAAATGCCTGAAATAGTTGAAATCATCTAGCAAAGAGATAGGCTTTATTTTCCAATAGAGGGAGCCAAGGAGCTATAAGATCAGAGATTCTAAGTTTATCTAACTTCTTTGAACTTTGGAAGTCGGGGAAACATATCAAAGCATTTCTTTCGCATTCAAGTTAGAACAGGTTTCTTTTCTGTTTGAATGATGTGTGTTTCTATTTACTTTTCTAACCATACAAGTTAATGCACTGTCTCAGCTGTAGCAGCAGAAAGTAAAGTAAGTAAAGTAAAAATAACTTTATGAAGAAAGCAAGTTTGAAGTCATGAAGTTGCACACAACATAAGCACCAACAAGTAACAACCTATTAGAAAAGGTGGGTTCTCTTGTACAAAGGCCTGTTTGGTTGGCAACTCGATTCTTTGGCAATCGAATTCATCCTCACAAAACCGTATTCACAGCATTTTGTAGCCGTGGACTCAGAACATCTCCATACTTACATGTTTTGTGAGAATAAAATCCAAATTCCCTAATAGTCCAATAGGACCAATACTCTGACAGTTTGACTTCCTCTAATTTCTTTTTCTTTTGTCCAACGGAGCAAGGTCTACTCATATTATCAAATGGGTGTGATGTGATCCTCCCCCTGTCTCTCACATGTTGATGGATCTGGACTGAATCTACTGGGCCCTCTTGAGAGGTTATAGAGTCAATTTGATGAAATGACTTAAACCCATCATCCATTATGTTCCTGCCTCGTCTTCAATGTATGATATTTAGACATTAACAGAACCTTTAGTCATATTTCTATTTGTACTAACTGAACCTAGTAAAAAAAAAAGCACAAAACATAATGATCTTTCCCAACTAATCTCTCGGCCTACTTGAACCTTCATTAATGGGCTCTTGTAAGAGACACAAATAATTTGTGAGGCCGGGCAGTTTAAACTTTCATGGGTGTTTGGGGGATTGAGCAGTAGGTCTAGAATTTAAAGCCCATAAGCCAGCTTCCATACCCGTACCAACCAAACAGACTCCTGACTCCGTGCCGTTCATAGCACTCACTGATGTCACTGTGCTTTGTCAAGCTGGAAAACCAGCAATGCATCCACTCTCCTTCCAATTGACTACTAGTTACTGGCTTTCTTCTGGGGAGAGGAAAATTCCATGGGGAAGACTACTTCTTCCAATTGAGCCCAATTGAGCCCTTTTCACTCTAGCATTCTTCTCAACCTCATCATCCACTCGCTGTGGCACCAGATTCAGATAGGTCAAACCCAAATGGCTGGCCCCCACTCATCAGAGAATAATTTGATTGGATGATTCCATGTTTGGCCTCCCCTTTCATCATGTTTCCCTGTAAAAGAAAATTGGCTCACCGCAGGTCTCGCCCATCTGGATGGATGCCAGGCCCACTCCACCCCACCAGACCAGTTTTCTCAGAACAAAAGGGGGAAAAGAAGAAGGAAAAGGGAGCAGACCCAAGAAAATTTGGCCACTTTGGCACCTGGAGTACTACTCCATTGGAACCGTAGGATACTGGGCCAATCATGATAAAGCACATCAACCACCTGACTGGGTTCATGTATGGGGTGGGGCTGACACGGTGTTATCATGATTGGATGAGTATTATGAGTGGATGTAGATGAAGCCTGAAGGGATACAGTACATAGGCCAAAGCATGGGTTTCAGCCTTGAGGCCACAGGCCCCTTGAATTGGCCGGACCCATAACTTGTCAAGTGGCCCATGTACAGAGTGTCCGGAAATACCATTCAATGTGACCCATCTTGACAGAGTGCTTGAATTTGATCTCCTTCTATTTGTAACAGTTGTAATTCTAAATGCTTTATTTTACGATCAAGGATTAAAGTATTGGTATCCAATATTGTATTGGACA